TCATGTCTTCAGTTCAATCTCAAGATATACTATAAAGATAATATGTAATATCTAGAATCAGAGTTGAAGAATCATTGAAGAGTGTCTCTCACAGTGAATGTATAAACTAGTACAAACAATCTTATATTTATAAGAGTTATATGTTATTATATTAATGAGAACTGAACTTATTAAGAAATATTAATTGAATTTAAATCATTGATCAGTAGTTATACTGAGAATTATATAACAGAGATATTAATAACAGTGATTAAAAATAACTATTAAGATATTACTCTCAGTCTTCTTACAATTATAACTGATAATACTGTGAATAACTATACTATAATAAAGAGCTTGAAGTAAAAATTGACTTTGTATTTCTGAAATAATAAATAAGATCATATTCTCTACATTACTCATATAATTTAACTTGTAATATAAACACTAATAAAGAATCTTAACATTGAGATGATGAATAATGAGATAACTGGTTCTTGAAATAAGAATGAGATAAAAGTGATTACTTAAGTAACTTTTGTATTCACTTTGTAAAAGATAATATTTTTTAATAACACTTTTTAATATTGCTTTTTAATAATGCTTTTTAATAATACTACTGTTAATTTTGAATAGATTGATTAATAATTTAAATATCATAGATTTGAAATATTGTTAATGTGATTTGTATCTTCTCTAAACAATAATAATGATTTCATGATATTTAATAAATAAATAAATCAGTCACATCACTGAATATAATACAGAATATTAGAATACAGTGAAGTTTAATATATAAGATAGCTATTCAGACTCTTTAATTGTATTAAATAATTGATCATTGAGTGTAATACTCTGATCAGAAAATGATTCAGATATTAATACTTTCTAATATGAAGTAAACTCAGTTGAAATATATGATTGATTTACTGTTTCAGTTTTATAAGACAATGAAGACAGTCTCAATCACTTATATATTAATACTGCAGTCAGTCTGATAAGTGTATAACAGTTTATTTACTTATCTTGAGAAGCAGTTGAATCACTTAAAAAGAAATTCAGTCTGAGATAATACTATAGTGCAGGCTATTATTACTGTAAGAAATAAACTGATATATTATTACAGTAAAACTGAACAATCTTTTACAGAGTATTATACTATAGCAGCTCTACTAGATCTCTTTCATTGAGTTAATATCTATACTTCTCAAGATTGAATAGAGAAGAAATGAGACTTATATGTTAAATTAGTCTGAGACTATTACAATATCAACTATCAGAGATTTAAATAAGCAGATATTAAAGATGTGAAGACAATGAAATACAATTTCCTAGTAAGTAATAATCTTTGATAACACTTCATATTATATAGAACTATAATACTAACTTTGAAACAGAACTTATATATAATAATTATAACTAAAAATCAGATAAAACTACATACTTATAAAACTGAATTTAATCACTATCTTCAAGATAATCTGATAAATTTATACACTAAATTAGTTCTAGAGTTATAACAACTTGTTAAGAGTATATATTCAACTGTTATACTAATAATATGTGATATTCTGACAATTTTATTAATAGAGATGAAAATAAAGTGAAAGTTCAACTCAAGCTGAGATATTTATCACTATTATCAGAGACAATTATAAGAAGAAATAATCAAGAAACTCATGATTATACAACATGAAATTATCAGACAGTTTAATATCTCTGATCACAGTATATCAGAGAAGTGTAGTTTTCATAAGAATGTAAAGAATAAACTTGTACAAGAATGTATTTAGTTATTTCATAAGTGTTATTAATAATCATTATCAAATTCTGATTATATAAGCAATCATTGAATGAACTGAATGAGACTGAATTTAATCTTCAGTCTCAGTCTTATTCTGATTTTGAAAGAATAATTATCTTTCACAGTCTATTCTGAGAAATTACTCTCATTTCACTGTTCTTGTATTAAAATCTGATTATTTTTCACATCATTTCTCTCAGAAAATGATTCATTTTCAGATTTTTTTAATACTTGATTTCTGATGAGACTTATATTAAGAAATGTATGAAATCAGATCAAATGAAATCAAATGTGAAATTCATTGATCTCATCAGGTAGCCTAACTGAATTCACATAGCTA